GCAAGCTAATGCTCAGTACGTTGCGTCTTCTGTTCAGCCTAGGGTGCCTTCATGTGCGCACATGAAGGCTCCCTAGTTCAGCCATCTCCCATTCACTCCTCCCTTTCCTCTTGTGAGGCGCACTATGGAGACTGCCGAGCATCCAGTGAGCGCCTCGTCCCGCGACCCGCGCATGCGCGCGATAAAAAAAAAAAAAAATCACGTGTAACATTATCCTAAAGGCCCGTTCACACTCTTGCGACTGCTTGCGACCTCTTAAACCTGGGTTCCTTAAAACTTCTTAAACCAGAGAACACACTGGCGCCATCTATTGGGAAGCAGTGTAAACTCGGCGGTCCGGCATATTTTTTTTTATTTCTCGCGCAATATCCTTTCTTTTTTGGCTCGAAAAACTTTTGTCAATGTTATAAACGAGCCTTTCTATGAATATTACGCACATTTGACCTCGGAAATCCCGCAAAACCTTCGCTTTTGTGAAATGCAGTTCTAGGGTCACCGCATAGATGGCGCCACAATGTCAGTGTGTTCCCTCATTCTAGAAACATTTAAGAAGTTGTAAGAGATCTCGTCTCTCTCAGTCGTACTCGGTCGCAAGAGTGTGAACGGGCCTTTACGCGAATGCGCGTACGTTTTGCTGTGACGACAGAAAGTTTTCAGGGGGGGGGGTAACTTAAACGGGTACAGAAACCAAATGACGTGGCTGCGAAATATCCATACCCCTCGCTTCAAAATCGACCAGCGGGAAGCGCAATGCGTATCACGCTCGTGATGTCAAGGGCCTCTGCACGGCCAAGGGTAGTGTAGTTGCGAGCATCGCCGCTTGGTGGCGTCAACACGTGACAATCTCGGCTAGTAGTAATATCCGAGGGCGTTTCTATGGTGCTGACAGAACGTAGTTTCCTTCTAAACGAAAAAATACGAGCTAATATTTCGTTCCCTACTCCTTTAATAAAAATACAAAAAAAGTTCATGTTTTTTTTATACATTAATTTCACTGGCAGCCTTAACTGCAATTAACTAGGGTATTAGAAGAGCCAACTGGCACCCGTTCGGTTTGCTTGCTAGGCCGGGGCAACCAAAAGTTCTCGGTGCGGAGCCGAACCTGCTGTGCGGTCGATTCTTTCGCAAACTTTGTCCCGGGGGCAAGGTTTGAAGCAGCTGCTCACGACGTTGGTTGTTCTCAAGCGAGGAACATAAAACAAAAAAAGTAAAAGAAGGACTAAAACGAACAGCACGAATAGGACGCCCGCTTAGCACGCTCTGAAACTGGACTTGGTCTTTTGCTTGGAGCATCGAACGTATATTGGAACGTTATCGGCTCTAACAACTCCCAGTGCGCGTCTGCTGTCGCACAAAACAGTTGGGGAGAGCCGATCGCCGCAATCAGGAGGACGCTCGACAAAGGACGAAACTGAAAATTCGTTTAGGCCTATAGAAGAAACAATATGCGCCGCGCCACTGACCATGACGTCAGCACATGAAAGGTCGTGGTCAGCGTCATAGCGCAGACTCTCCCCCCCCCCTTTTTAGGTCAGACCCATTTTCAGTCTCAGTATTCCGAACACTGAGGCTGAAAACACGATTACTCTATTCGTCGGGCAGCCTCCGCGGAATGCAGCGAATATGTCTCTCCCAAGCGCACTTGGGAGAAGTAGGCGTTCCTGATATTTTAGACACTGCAGCATGACGCGAGATTACTCACGTCATGCTCAGTGCCATGGCGTCGAGTTCCTCCGAGAGTTGCAACAATCGCACCAAGATCCATTCGCATGCACGTGTCTCTCCTCATAAAAGCGTACACACAAACAAAAAGTGCGCGCGTAGTTTAAGAAATAAAAATAAACGTCGACCTAAGTATTCTTTTTAAAAGAAGTGAGTTTTCGAGTAATTTTGTGCTGTGAATGTGAATACCGCAAGGATTTGACTGAAACGCATCAATAAACGCGAAAAGAAAAAGAAAAGACAAAGAAGATAAAATGTTGGGTGTGACGTCATACTGAGAGGCTTCAACTGCCTTACGCGTGTCGCTTGTGAATAAACGTGTGCGGCGTCTTCGACTGGTCGGGTAAGGCTTACGGAAGGCGTAGAAAATGCAGAGATCTCAGCATTGTACGTGACGAGTCCCTCCTCCCACCGAACACGCCGTAAAAGTGGAGCTTCAGCGCCATCTTGAAAGCGCTGTTGTGGCTTACTTGGCGCGTCAATCTGAAAGAAAAAAACAAAAAAAAACCTTGATGTTTGTGATCCTTGAGACCTAATAAAGACGACTTAAGTGTTTTTTTTTTTCTCAACTACAGAACCGCTTCAGTTTCCCCTTAACGCCAATCCACGTGAAAAGAGAGCAAGGAAAAAAAAAATGTTTACGCTTTCTAAACCGAGACCCTGCATATGTATCAATGTTTTCCTGCCCCTCGCGTCTTTCGCGCATGTTTTTCATTCTGTACTCTTCTGTTCTTCGTGGACGACGGGAGGGAAGCAGAAAGCATCCTCCTAAGCATTCGGCCGACAGACACCCAAGAGGAAGAAAGCAGGAAAAAGAAAAGTACGGCGCCGGGTAATAGAAGCACCAGGCGGCACGCTTGGCACCCGATCTCCGCGGGAGCTACTGCATCGCGGCGCAAGGAGCGAATATATTAGGGAACGCAGCAATGGCCCCGCTGTCCCGGATAAGCCGTGGCATGAAGGTTTTCCTTCCATGCCTCCGCTTTCTCGCGCGTTTTTCTTTTTTCGTTTTTGCTTTCGGTTTGTAACGTTTTTTGGCGGGTTTTCCTTCGTTGCTTGTAGGTGCTGTCATCCGGTGTGTAGTCCTGGGGCGCCGATGTTTGAAAGGACGGGGGGCTCGAGGAGATGGTTCCATCAAACGCAACGGCATCTCCTTGTCGAGTGGGCCGCATGCCCGAAACGAGCTTTTCTTTATACGCCTCGCGGCTCTCGACCGAGGGTTTCGCCGTACAGTTTGTGGAAGGGGGGGTCATGAACGTGGATGTGCATGTGGGCGGATCTGTGTGGTCGAGTTTTGTACAAAAAGACAGCCTGCAGACAGTACAGAGTTTTAGGGAACCGTTTTTGCACATCCGATCCGGCATGCGGCGAGCCCTCCGCTACGAACGGCGCATATAGGAGTTTTCTCTGGTGGCGCATGCGCAGTTCGTAGCGGCGGACCCAGCGTACCCTAGGGGATGTGCAACAACGGTTCGCTAAAACTGTCTCCTACCCTGGGGCATGTTTCTTCATTTCCTGACGGTCCAGTTACGCTGGTCGTACAACAACCTTCTGGTGCAGATCCGTTCGAAGCGTACGAATTCGTATGAAGCCGGCTTCGAGCTTGCTTAAAGGGATACAAAACCAAAGAATGTAGTGCCCATAATAAGTGGCGCACGTTCTTTCCACGAGCCAGCAGCCGCCGGTGGGCGCGCACACACACGCAACAAAAATGACGTCAAAGACATTCGCGCTTAAGAGGACAGTGAAATGCATAGGCTTCGGGCCAAAGGAAAATAAAGACAGGCTTTACATCTCTACAAGTGAAAGGTACGTGCTTGTTAGACCAGTTAATCGCTTAACGTTTACACCAGACGCCACTGTGTAGATGAAAAACTTGTCTTTATTCTCCTGTGGCCCGAAGCCCATACATTTCAGTGTCATCTTAACCGTGAATGGAGGCCTTTGACGTCATTTTTGTTGCGTGTGCTCGTGCACACCGACGGCTGCTGGCTCGTGGAAAGAACGTACGCCACTTATTACGGGCACTAAATTTGTTGGTTCAGTATCCCTAAGGGCTGTACGCAGACACGTCTGTCATCATGTCCACAGCGAACAACGTGTTTCTTGCATCATGTGTGAAGGCTGTACTTATACACCTTTACAAGCGGGATCCCGGCTTAACCTCGAACCGCGTGCCAAGGTGAGGCGGACCTACTCTCCAGCCAGGACGTTCGCTGGTTGTCGTACAATGTTGCCAAGCGTCTCTCGCCGAAGCGTACACCACTGAGCGCAGAAAGAAATTTTAAAAAAATAATTATAAAACGTATACGTATACACGTGTCGTCTTCGACAGCGAAATAGCAAGGACAATTAAATAAAATGCCTAAACCGGTAACAAATCGAAAATTTTCAAAAAGATCTAAAGTCTCAAGGCGCTCTCTTCAGAATGCGCCAAAAGTCGCATGGCCTTTGCATCAACGATGGCTGCGCTCGCGGCAGCTCTGGCTTCCACAACATGCAGGAACAGAGGCTGCGATCGTTTTAAAGTCAGCTCCAACCCTGAAAGATGCCCCGTCCTACAATATGTGATGCTACGATTCTGTGTGGGTACCGCCTCCTGCGTTCCGAGACAGTAAGTGTGCCGCTAACGTAAGCCATCGGCGATGCAGTAAACGGCACCATCTTGTCATCGCGCACCCCAGTGACGTGCCCCTGGCGCACCCCAGCATGGCGGAAACGGTACGGGGCGCCAGCATCGCTCAAAATGGCAGCACACAGGAGCCTTTCTTGCAAACGTGTATAGCAGTGCCACAGCTCGCAGCACGTGGAGAGAAAGCTTGCGCTGCAGAACAAAGGGACCCTGGGTTCAAGGAATGTAGTACCAGCGTGCGGTCGTGGATCTGTACTGCGTGCTGTACATTGAAGACACCAAGATAGCAGTCGTAGTGCACTGGACATTATTTCTAATATACAGCGGAAACTTCAGACGCCCAGTGTGGCTGCATGAGCAAATTAACGCTGTCTAGACAACCATGGAGCACAATTAGACCATATATACACGATAACAGATATCCCAGACTAACGCCGCTAAAGTAGAAACGAACACATAACTACAAATAACCGCCAGCTGCCTCCGCATCAGACATTAACAGTCAGATACAGCTCAATGACTTATTACGTTGACTAAAAAAGGCCAATATGGTTGGCAACAAAATAACATTTGAGGCCACACCATGAATCATTTACTCGGAATCGCTAGTTTATTCAGCGGTCTCATCTCAGTAACTCAACATTCACTAGAGGGTGCAGCGGTGGACGGGGTTCATAAAGGTGTTTGGCTTGCACAAGAAGGCATCTGCAAAGGGCCTGAAGTTCCTCAACGGACCATTCACCCTGTACCAGGCAGGACTGACGTGGCCTTCGTCTAGAACCCGATCGAGAAACGTGTCGTTGTTCACCTCGCAGAAATTTCGGGCGTATTCCACGAAGAACAGCTGCCGTGGCGTAAGGTTCTCCAACTTCGGCAACCGGTCGTTCTTCTTTGTCTGCTCAGCGTAGCGGAGGTAAGAGTCGTACGATGGCTCCAGAGTCATGAAATCCAGAAGGTTGGAGTAGAACGAGCTCCTTCCGATCCGCCGGCGTGAGTCCTTCCAGCGTATCTTTCTATACTGGCGACCCAAACAGTCCATCAGGGCGTGTAGCTTGGAGACGAACCGAGACGGTCGCTTTCCTGCCCCGTAGTTGTAAGCAAAGTGGTAGACCGCGTGGTACATGGTGTAGAAGACGCGTGGTCCAATGCGTGGCAGTTGAAACCGCTCGAGCGATGCATCGGGATCCTTCTTGAAGTCGAAGACTGGCAGCGGTATCTCCAGTTTTAAAAAAGGAGCTTCGAGACGAGCGTACGTGCTCAGCATGCCGCCTCTCCACCCGACCCACTTGTCTAAGTCTTTCTGTGCGAAGTCTCTGAAGCTGAACATTGTCGAGAGGGACATGTAACTCTCGATGACCCTCTTGCTGCCGGCCGCGGTCTCGTAGATGGAAACCAAACGACGGAACAATTCGTTGTGGGACGTGACAGCATCCGGCACAATCGGTTCCCAGTTGATGGCTGATAGGGACTCGACTAGGCTGTCCCTGAAGTCGACGTCGAAGCTGGTCTGAGAGTACAAGGTGTCGTTGAGTACTGTCTCCAATAGGTCGAGCAGAGGGTTGAAGGCCGCTTTACCACCGAGTTTGTTCGATGCAGCGTCCATGGTCATGTGCATTAGGAGGGCAGGTTCGTAAGCGTTCATCATTCGGACGCAAAAGCGACGGCGAGTTAGAGGGCGCGGGGAAGGGTATCCCGCGTAACGTGCGTACTTAATGGCCATCAATTCGCCCATGTCCAACTCGTTGTCCGCTGCTATCTCCACGAAGGTCCGAAAGGCAAGGTAGTTTAAAAAGCTGCCGTACTCGTTGCGCACCAGACCATCCTCGAGAGCATGGAGATACTTGAGAGAAGCGGTCTTGAGTGGTCTCTTTGAAAGGTCCGTCCCAAATGCTTGGGCCACAACCAACCTTATTCTCGCGGCCAGGTCCTTAAACTGGCTAGGTAGATCGATCAGTTCGTCTTGCAAGCCCAAGCCTGATTCAGATTGCCGCTCCATAGAAGACGACAGAAGCCGCTCCATCTTAAGAACGTTGCTTTGGATCGTCTGGTTGCGGTCTAGGATCTCCATGATGAATCCAGAAAGCGCATCGTCCAGGTACGCGTATTCTATGTCCAGTCCAAGTCGAAGAGGACCCATGAGCAAACTAGGTTCTCGGACTAGCACGTAGGACTGCTCCGGATTGTCGAAATTTCTCTCAACCGACAAGGCATAGTAAGGTTGAATTCCGAGACTCATCAGGTCTTTGATGATTGCGTCGAGCGTGTGCCCCTTCTTAAGCACAACGGGGAACGGATGAAGCCCGATCTTCTTCAGCGTGTCCAGCCAATACGTGTCGCCTTTCCGCGGGTACTCGCACCTCAAGAAGATGTCTCTCACGGCTTCGTATCCGGGGCGTCCCTTCTGGATGACGTCTGCGAGAAGCAGCTCGTACTGATCCAGCAACGCGTCGTCTACAGAAAACTTGGCGGCACCGAACGGAAGCTTGTGGCTGTTTTCCCAGCGTTTGCAAACGTAGGCATAGAAGTCGTCGCAGGGCTCTTGGTGGAATTCTAGCTGGCGGAACAGTAAGCCACCTTCGTTCTCGCAGGCCACAGTCCTGCAGACGTTGCTTTCCGGGTCGACGTTATGGTACGACTTCATTACAGCGGGTGCTCTGACCTCCGCCCGGTCGTCATCGTCGGGACCGACGCCATTGTCGGTGCCCGGTACGGCGAGGCCGAAGAGTCTCCAGGGCGTGAGGCCGACCAGGAGGGACACTACGGACACGAAGATGGCGCTTGCTGTGAGGAAGTAAAGCACCGTGGTGGCGTGGCTGGTGCGGCCGCCGGGCGCCACGCTTGCAGCGGTGCGGGCAGGCAGCCGCGTCGACTGCATCGGCAGTTCATCGGAGGACTCCGACATGGTTCGTTGGTGGTGGTGACCCGGAGCGGACCCCAAGGCCTGATCTCTGAGGGAATGTCCAACCGAAGAATGCGCCGATGGCCGGTGCTCCCCGTGGGCCTTTCGAACGCGCGTGGGCACCAGCCTACATTGACCATGCTGAAGCTCGTGGTCCACAGCTCACGCTCAGAACGAGCTTTGAGATTTTGAAACCAAAATTATAGCAAATCTGCGAGCTGGTTTAGGTTATTCAAAGAGAGGCTAAGCCAAATATTTCAGTGTCTATAATAAATGGCGCACAATCTTTCCACAAGCCAGCAACCGCCGGTGCGCGCAAGCACACACAACAAAATTGACGTTACAGTCCCTCATTCACGCTTACGATGACAGTGAGATGTGTGGGCTCTAGGGAAAAGGAGAATAAAAACAAGCTTTTCATCGCCACAGTGGGGTCTGGTATAAAAGGTAAGCAATTAATTGGTCTAATAAGCACGTAGCTTTCACTTGTGGAGAATAAAAGCCTGTTTTTATTCTCTTTTGTTCCTAAGTTCATACATTTCACTATCATCACAAGCGCCAATGGGGGACTATGATGTCAATTCCGTTGCGTGTGCTCGCGCAGACCGGTGGCTGCTGGCTCGTGGAAAGATCGTGCGCTACTTATTATGGACACTAAAGTTTTTTTTTGTTTTTGTATCCCTTTAAACCGGAGGTGACACACTACAAAAAGGGAACACACAGAATACGCCTGCATCTTCCTTTTGCTGCCTGCCGTCCCCGGATTCAAATATGTGCTTCCACGCATCTCGTCCGCCAAAACCAGAAACATTCATGGTGTATGATGCGCGTCGCAAAAACATGGTTGAAGCGCGCGTATTCTTTTTACCTGTGTAAAGGCCGGTTCAGACACTTCCGTTTGAGTGCGTTTGACTGCGTTGCGTCGAGAACCGAAAGCGAGTCACCGGCACATCTGTGCTTCGTACGAAGCGTGGAGTTCAATTCAAGGAATCATTTTGGCACTCGATATAAGCAGCAGGGATGTCTTGGTTTGTCGCCGCCGCAACACAGTCAAACGCAGTCAAACGCAACTATCTGAACCAGGCTTTAGGGTGAGCAAAGCCAATGCCACGAGTATACGAACATGCTGACGTGATTGATGCTTCCAGTTCACGAGCGTGTGCAGTAAGACAAGCACTCACTAGAAATCGGGCCCGAAGTCGAGCATCTCCTGGCGCAGTGATTGGACCTTAGCATCATCCAAACACTCACGCAGCACCCGTGTCCAATCCACGGCTGGGAGACTTGTCGCCCGTTGAGGCAGACCAACTTCTAAGCTGTATAAACATACACACAAGCCAATTTTTTTCCCACGGGTAGACTTTGTTGTAGTGACATCACAATTTAGAAGTGCAGAAATATTAGCACTGAAATCAGAGAAATAAAGACAGCGAAAAAATGAACACAAGGACAAGTAAAAGACAAAAAAAAAAAAAAAACAACAACACAGCGCTGTGTTTGTCTTTCTTCTACTTCTCCTTGTGTTCATTTCTGCGCTGTCTTTATTTCTTTGATCGTGCACTGAGTCGTCCATCTTCACACCTTACTTCAGAACCAAGATGCTTCGATGGTACCCTTCTCTGATTCCTCTCCGTGACGTCAAGACCCTGATTTCCCTCGCCGTGACGTCACGAGTATTCCTGGCCGATTATGATCAGTTTCGTATGAAAAGTTCGGTGGTTTGTGTGGAGAGCACAGTGGAAGCTTGGAGTAATAACGTTTTGTTTGACATCGCTAATATTTCTGTCAATGAAAGCAACCATTAAATTGAATAAATGCGTTTGAACAACATAATTAATGGAACTAAGGACGTCATGGTGATTTTGGCCAACCACAGTGACGCTGGATGGCCGACCACAGTGACGCTTTTGGACATGCGCGTCGCCTATACTTGATCTCAAAAGTTATAATAATAACAATGTTGTGTGTATGTCTATACAGCTGGAAGTTATCCAGCCTTAGTGGGCGTCTGGTGTCTCAGCTGTAGGTGAGAACTTTAGCCAGTGCAGGACAACCGCTAGTCTGAGGTCTTTAAAGGGGTACGGAAACGAAAATTGAAATATAAAAATTTCGTTCAGAAGTGAGTCAAGCAAGACGGATAATAACCGTAAATGACAAACGGTGCACTCGAGCAGGCACTTGAAGAGAAGCAAACGGAAAGTGCAATGCGTCATAAAATATCCGGGGAAAAAAAAAGAGATAAGATTTTCCGCGTTTGTGACGTAGCAAGGCTCGCGTGGATGAGCTTTGCCGTTGGTGGCGTTGTGGTGGCGCTAACCTATTACAACCGAACCGTTTGAAGTACCCGTGGGTACCTCAAATAATTCGGCTGTAAAAAAAAAAAAAACAATTTTTCAGGGATTAAGTATTATCTCGGCAACAGTCCTGAAGGCTTTGGGAAAAGATGCCATACTGCAGCTGGCGTCGATCCTCAACGACATTCTCTGCGGGACAGAGCCCATTCCCCAATACTGGAGACTCGGCCAGGTAGTCTTGACCCCGAAGAAGGGAGGCAACCGTCACCATCTGTGCAACTACCGACCCCTGACGGTTACGAGCACGCTCTAAAGAATTTTGGCCTATATCCTCAAAGAAGAGACGTCAGCATGGGCAGAGCATTCTGTGCGCCTTACTGAATTTCAGGGCGGCTTTAGACGGGGACGCCGATTGGAGGACAACTTATTTACACTCACGCAGTGCAATGAGGTTGCCCGAAAGGAAGAACGACCCTTGGTGTGCTGTTTTCTGGACATCACCAAAGCGTATTCATGGACTACTGACGCAGTGCTTAGAGAAGCTGGAGTTGTCGAAGCGGTGTGTCACCCTCGTGTGCTGTGTCTACACGGGAAAGGCGGTACGAGCAGAACTGGGAGGGGCAGAGTCGAATGAAGTGACAGTGACAAGGGGCCTTCGACAGGGATGCCCGATCTCCCCGCTTCTCTACGTGTTATATGTGGCTGTAATGGAGGAGAGGCTGCTTCAATCGAAAGTGAGTTTTTCCCTCGCCCACCTGGAAAATGGCGAGGAAGTGAACTGGGTGCTGTCCGGGCTGCCCTTTGCCGACGGCGTCGTGCTCACAGTGGAGACTCTGGAAGGTCCGCAGCGGTTGATAGGCATATGTGCCTCTGAGGCTGCCGCACGACACCTAATAGGTTCAAGCCAAACAAGTCGGCAGTCGTCCAGTTCCCGGGATCCGTACAGACGATGGTGTGTTCCCTGAGGTTGAGTGGTGAGGCTCTGCCGGTCGAGAGCGCTTTTAAGTACTTGGGATTCATCCTTCCCAATACACCGGAGTTCCTTCAGGAGCACCATGCGCACCTTCGACAGTCAGCCAGCAGTGCGTGGAGGCAACATCCTCCGGAATTGCAATCTGTGGATTTGCGACAGGTTCATGGTCACCCGGGAGGCGTGGAAGGCAATGATGGTGCCAGGGCTGACATTTGCCATCGCTGTTGTTTGCGTTTCTGAGATGTGCGCAATCTCATGGAAAGGCGACAGCAAGATGCTGGTCACCAAGCCCTAAGATGCCACTTCAATGTTTCCTTGGACGGCTTCACCGACGAAGCCGTCCAAGGAGGCTTAGGACAGTCGAGCTTCGAGGAAAGAGAGGCGGCGAGTAAAACAGGCTATGATAGAAGACTGCGGCAGATGGACCGGCGCCGCTGGGTTAGGAAACTATTTGTATATACCTACCTGACTGGAGGACAGGCAAGGTGGCAGAGGCGCATTAACCAAATAGAGAAAAAGTATGGTTTCTTTGCCGAGCCTTGTGGGGAGACCAACAAACAAAAGTGGGAGGCTGAGGCCCGGTGCAGGGTGCGCGAGAGTGAGACCCTCCAGTGGGTTCAAGCAGCCCAAGAAAAGTCAACGTAACTGCTGGTCTAAACGAAAAACAAATTGCAAATCTCGAATGAAGCTCAACTAACAGTTTAGGTAGTCGTCTTTCGTTCGAGGCACGAGCAGGGTCCCTGCAGGCCACCGTGCTGCAGGCATAGACATAAGGCCTGTTCACACACGCAGCGGATCGCTACGAGCGTAGCGCTGACCTTGCGCTAAGCCCGTGTTCACGGGAGCGTTCACCAGCTTTGTATCGCACCGTCAAAACTGTTGCTTAAGGCAGACAATAACTAGCTGACGACACGTGAGCAGCGCTACATCAGCGCTTAGCTGCATGTGAGAACAGGCCTTTACAAGGAAATATTCGATCCGAAAGTGACTTCTACCATCTGTCCGTCGAGCGAGAAAGACGCCTAGAAGGTAGAGGACCTGGTGGTCTTCTGCCAGCGCCTGCTTCCACCTTCGACGGATCATTGCCGGCGTCACCCAGAGTGCACGCTCGTGGACGCTCTGGGGTTCAAGCAGACGCCATGCGAGGGCACCCTGCACCTCTAGAAGCGCCAGGGGTAACTGCCACGTTACCAGTGCAGGAATGTCGTCAACGAAGACACGAGACAACGGATCGGGCGTGCAGAGTGTGAGGACAACAAAGGCGCAAGCAACTGGAGCATTGGTGACGCGTGATTCAAGACAATAAGTAATATTCGTCAATATATATTTTTTATTTTTATATTCTTGGTTAGGGCACGAAGTTTTTTTCGAGCTCGCCTGTTTCAAAGGGAAAAGTCGCAAAATCATCATCATCATCATCATCATCAAATCGTGCCAGGAATATTTGCTCATTGGTCTGCGCGCCGGGCGCGGTCGCAAATTGTTTACGAACGGTTTGCTTTCGTCCCATTATTTAACACTTTTAGCGTAGTTTGTCACCTTTTTCTTTTTCTTCCACGGGAACGCAGTTCGCGCTGAATCACGAGCAGAGCATAGCGAGCCTAAATTGAAGAGTGGGTCCGTTTCAAACCATGGGGAGCATTTCCAATGTAATGGCGGACACCTCCCGCGTCGATCGGTCGCAAGTGCGCATGCGCTCCGTTTTCGCCTTGCGAGGAGGAAAGCAGGCGGAAAGG